ATTTTTTTGGCCACCCCCCCGGTTGAGCCCCTCCAGAAGTGGTTACACAGACCATCTCACACCCAGGTGATTCCACTGAAACCCAAGTACAACCTCTACCAAAACCAACAGGATTCAACTCAAGTTTCTACAACCAGAGCAAAGCCCAGCACTGAACCAAGGAAGAGCCATTTCTGGGGCAACAAGAGATTAAACTAAGACAATGAAGAAAGGGGGAAGGGACCTGAAAGCTCCTCCAGCTCCAACCCCTGCCACGGGCAGGGACACCTTCCACTAGAGCAGGTTGCTCCAAGCCCCTGTGTCCAACCTGGCCTTGAACACTGCCAGGGATGGGGCAGCCACAGCTTCTCTGGGCACCCTGTGCCAGCGCCTCAGCACCCTCACAGGGAAGAGCTTCTGCCCAAGAGCTCATCTCAATCTCCCCTCTGGCAGGTTAAAGCCATTCCCCTTGTCCCGTCCCTCCATCCCTTGTCCAAAGCCCCTCTCCAGGTCTCCTGGAGCCCCTTTAGGCCCTGGAGCTGCTCTAAGGTGTCCCCTTCAGGAGCCTTCTCTTCTCCAGCTGCCCCAGCCCAGCTCTCTCAGCCTGGCTCCAGAGCAGAGCTGCTCCAGCCCTCGCAGCAGCTCCGGGGCCTCCTCTGGCCTCGCTCCAGCAGCTCCACGTCCCTCTTGTGCTGTTCCCCAGAGCTGGACCAGGGCTGCAGGGGGGGTCTCCCCAGAGCACAGCAGAGGGGCAGGATCCCCTCCCTGAGCTGCTGCTCACGCTCTGGGGGTGCACCCAGCACATGGGGGGTTCTGGACTGCAAGAGTACGCCACTGGGTCGTGCATTAGGCTACACATTAGGGTATGCCACAGAGCATTCAACAAGGGTACGCGTTAGGGTACACTGCAGGGTATCCAACAGGATATACAACAGGGTATGCAACAGAAATAGCCTTCCTCCACTGGCACCAAGGCATTTCCAAGCACAGGGATGTACCAGGCACTGGCTCTGGCTGCAGGCCAGCCTGTGCTCTGCAGCAGGCTCTGCTGCTGTGTCGAGATGTTCATTTCGTGGTGGTGTTGGTGTTTTTTTTTTTATTAAAAGAAGGTATCAGCCTTCTGTTTGATGTGCTGTTGGCCGCGGTTGCTAAGGGGAGCAGTGTACAATTACAGCCCCAGTGATGTCCACTCTAATAATACACTTGGCTCTGCATAGCTCAGATGCAGACACAGCTCTGCTATAAAGAGCACGGCCATTTCAACAGAGGAATACTCCAACTTATGTTACATGTGAAGGGTTTGTGGCACGTTGCTTAACCGAAAGAAAAAATACAAGCACCACAGCCTGGGCACGCCAGTGAGTGAAACTATGACAAGCAAAAACCTCCTGCAGGAGACTCACTTTCAATTTATTAATTAAGGAGGTATTTCTATGTGTCCACCAAGATGTTCTTGCATGCCCCCATCTGCCCAAGCTCGCCAGGACCAATTTGGCCAGGTCCATCCCAAGGGCTCGCACAGCTCAGTGTTGCTCTTTGTACTATACGAAACTCAATGAGCAGCAAATCAAACCCAAATGACCACCCCTCGGTGCCAAGGCCCGGTATGGCAGCATATCCCCAAGCTCCATGACTCCCCTTTCCATGTCTCCCCTCAGCATCCTGAAAGTTTTGCAGCACCCACATTCAAGCTCAGCCTGTGATTTGGGACCAAAACACAGAGCAAGGGATAAATTCAAACCAGAGTTTTCCCAATAGATCCCCATAGAGCCTGAAATGGTGCAGCACTGATCGGGGGGATGCTCTTTAGGGAAGCTGCTGGCAGGGAGGGGGGGATGACATGACAGCATTCCCGTCCTGCGGCGCTGGCATCTGTTTTGGGATCAAAACAAGCCCCCTGAGATAAGCTGCGAACATGTGCAGCCCCCGAGCGTGAGCACCTTGTCAACAGCTGAAAACACAGGAGCAGCCAGGTTAAAAAGATAGTTTATTGCCTGTTCCACTGGAAAACCCCTTTAAGGGCTGGTGGGGTTACAGGGATGCTGTCTATAGGTACTGGCATGCCGGTAAGGAGGCCCAATGGGTTAATGCGTTGATTTATGAGATTCTCTGGTGCTGTTGCCATCACAGTCCCAAGAGAAAGGGACAAACAAGCCCCTACAAAACAGGAGCATCTGCCAGGAGCAGATGTGGGGGGGGCGAGCGATCCAGCCCCAGGCGCCAGCAGCACAGGGCAGGATCACGTTGATCCCGATTTATCACACCCCGGCAGAGTAATTCCCCAGCTCGCCGGTGCCCGGCGAGCCGAGCTCCTTACGTCCGGGGATCAGATTAGTCTGAAAGGTGCTAGAGAGACATAAATCCTGCTCTGGAGCAAGCGTTTTATTAAAGGCTTTTTTGGTTTGTTCTGTTTGTTTTCATTTATTAATGGTAAATTATCTAGAAATGGCTGATGGAAAACATCTGATGGTAGAGAGGCCAGGACTGGACCTGGGTAACGTTATATTATCAACCCTATATCAACATGTCATATTGATATATATATATCAATATATCATATTGATATTGATGTATCAACATCATATCATCAAACATATCTCAGAATATCATATTGATATATTAATGTGGTATCCACATTGCTCCACAATGTCCATATATTACCCAGTATACCATATGGATAATGTATCATATATCAGTACCATCAACCCCCTTATTTCACATCAAGGCAGCTGCAATCAATCACTTGTGCTTCATACCTGGGTCTGTTTCCATCACAAAAATTCCCAGTTTAGGGCTTGATCAGAGTATTTAATGAATCTTTGTGAATACATCCAATTGTTTTGGTTGGAAAAAGAAACTGTGTTTGGAGAAAGTCAAAATCCTTTACTATGAGAAAGGAAATGTTAAATTATTTAATCTCACACAGCACTTTGCTTCTGACCTGTACTGATCTGTCACCTTTTGCCCCATCAAGACGTTTTTAAAAGATGTGCAGTTTGGGGCTGAGCAATTCCCTTCTGTGTATTTTTCTATGCTCCAGCACATGAACTCGGTCACCCGTACTCCCTGCTCACTCTTTGCATTTCACTTCTTCCCACCTTTCCACAATGGACATCATTCTCCCATCACACTGAGACTGGCTACATGTTCCTGGGAAGCACTTTGGGACTCTCTGGAGATATGTGATATATTATTTATCCTACATTCATGCTATGAAGACCTGAATATGAAGCCAGTTATTATTGAACATGACACTGCAGTATAAGTCAGTCCACTGGGTCTGTTGGTAGGGGTGGAAAAGCTGGGGCAAGAGAAGAGAGCAAGTTAGAAGAGATGATGGACGAGAACTGCCATCATCCTCAGTTTTTGGATGACACACTGCTCCCCCCTGGCCATTGCTCCTGGACTCTCTTTTGGATTTATTAGCATTGCTCAAACAAATGGGGAAAGACACAAGAATGACCTGGCATGGGAAAAGTGGGATGCATGAAGGGTTTAGAGCCCTCTCCAGCCCCTTGCTTCTAAATCTGGGACTGATGCTGACAGCAGTTTGTCTCCTCCTGCTTTATAATCACCTTGGAAATAAAGTGATTGGAAAAAAATAACTGCCTGGTACATGCATTGGGCAGATGTGTGTGCTTCCCAAGGGAAAAGTAGAGAAGGGGTGGGCACAGGGAAAGATTCTGGGTTTGATATGGACCCAGAGCAACGACAGAAGCAAAACAGGACCACTGACCTTGCAGAATGATCCTAGGTTACGCTAAATATTGATGTTCGTTGGTTTATTTTGCTCCTTATTTCCCTGCTTGAAAAGCCAGTTCAGCCTGCACAAGGCAGAGGCAGCCGAGCACAGCCTCCAAAGGATGATCTCCAACAAGGGCAAGGCAGGATAAGATGATGTGCTAATAACTGAAGCAGTGCTGAGCACTGAATGCATGGAGAGCAGCGAAATTAAACAAGATCTTTGTATGTGCCACACATGATGTGTGTGTGAGAGAATGGCTAAGTTACTGGTTTCAGCTCCAAAAGTCCTTCTTCCACAGACACAGGAAGACAGAGGTTCATGCAACACCCTCCCCAGAAAGCAAACCCCTTTTGATGGTGGCACTGCTTCCCCAGCAGACCATGGGCAGTTGACGACAGTCATGTTTCCCTATCATCTACCTCTATCATGGAGCAGTTATCAGAGCCACTGCTTTCCTTCCCCCCACCCCCAGCTCAAACTTTTCTGTCATGCACAATCACCCAGCAGAACAATCAACCAGCAGAACAATCAACCAATAAACAAGTCACCCAATAATTAGCAAATACGCAAATTATTTCAGTCTGGGTTGCAATCAGAAAGTAGGAGCGAGCCCTTCAGCGAGGTGATGCAACCAACAGCCTACCCAGGAACTACTGAATCGCAGAATCCCAGACTGGTTTGGGTTGGAAAAGACCTTAAAGCTCATCCAGATCCAACCCCTGCCACGGGCAGGGACACCTTCCACTAGAGCAGGTTGCTCCAAGCCCCTGTGTCCAACCTGGCCTTGAGCACTGCCAGGGATGGGGCAGCCACAGCTTCTCTGGGCACCCTGTGCCAGCGCCTCAGCACCCTCACAGGGAAGAGCTTCTGCCTAAGATCAAATCTAAAATACCATGACTTGGTAGCGCTGAACTTCATCCGAAAAGAGCAGCAAAACCCCTCCACTGTAAGACCCTCTGAGTTCACTTCTGCTTATGTCATAGGGATGCTGCCACAAGCAACCCGCTCATTTCACAGATGGGCCCTGGTGTGAGATACCATAATTCCATGTACAGCTCATGAGCTGGGAATGAAGAGCAACTCGACAACGCCCTCAGTGTCACGCTATCTATGGTCACTATTAAATGTGTGCACAGACAAAATTGCAGGTACCCTTCTGTTTTCATCAACTGACTTCAAAAGGAATATGGTAATGGCTTAGCTCCTGCCCAAATGCATGGTAACACCAGGCGGCGTAAAGCTGGAGGCATCTAACCAATAAGTTTTATTTCTTTACCTGCAACATGTTGAGGAGCAGACTCCGGAATTTGGTTCCTTCCACCATGAAAAGGGCCATTTTGTCACACAGCTTGGCTGCTGTAGAAGCAAAGCTGCGGTCCGTCACCGCTTTCTGGTAGATGGTCTTGACTATCTCCCCCAGCATCTCCTCAGAGTTGGTGGAGTTCTGGGCCTCCTCCATGAAGGTGGTGAGCTTGGAGTCAACGTCGCTGCTGTTGTTCCTCATGCTGTTGAGGATTTCAATTAATTTGTCCATTTTGTTCTTTTCAGGGTTGGTGGTTTCCACCGTGACTTCGTCCTGGTCCGTGAAAAGGGAAAGACAAGGCGTCTGTTACACAAGGAAAAAACAGACATATCAGCCCATGTCCTTCCACAAACAGCAAAGGGGGAAGGGGATTAGGAAGACATAAAAACAGACATAGAAAAATCAAAGCATCATTTAGAGGCACAGTGGTCTCATCTCAGCATTGAAAACCACAAGTGAATGAGTCCTGCCCCAGAAATGTTCTATTTCTCCCGTTTCCCACAGCACTCAATCCCAGAGTCCTCCCCCTCAGCTCAGGCAGAAGATGTGCTCAAGGGTCCTGAGCTGGGATATTGAGGTCTGGCCATCCCTGACATCCTGGACCAGTTTCTGGAGGTGTCTGCAACATGGTGACAATGGACACTTTTTTGTCTCTGTTTTGAAAGCACTGATGTGCAACATGCTCAGATAACAACCCTACAAAAATATTTACTTCTTAATATATATTTAATGATCGCAATTGAGATCGAATGTCACATGATCCCAGCATTAGAAAAACAACTTCTCCATCTCTTGGTTGTTACACTTTTCACTTCATGTCATTACCATAGAATTTATTGCTTGTTTTCAACATTTAATTATGCATTTGCCCCTTTCCCCCGTGTCAGGCATGCATCCTGCTTAGTTTACACTGCTCCCTTCCAATCTTAAAACGTGGTATACAAGACACACCTGTAGCAATTCTTGGACAACCCCAATGCCAAGTAGCAATTGGAGTTGTCCGAAACTCCCACCAGGAGGCCAGTTGTGTTGACAGCACCCACCCAAGAGTGGGTGCTTATGTGATGTGTTTCTTATAAGACTATAATTCACAGGGAGAACATTAAAATGAATATTCTGAAAGTCTCTACTATACTCCCATTGCTTTAAAGAACATAAAAATAACTAAAAAAATCTCTTCCTCCCCCTCATGCCACATACATAAATAGTAAATGCACATGCATTCAAAGGTATACATTTCCAACATGCACTCCCATGGAACTGAATATGTTCAGGTTATTTTTGCTATGTATTTTGGAAATCTTATTGGAGATACCCCACGGATGCATTTTCCAGTCTGAAAAAGAGAGTCTCAAGAGAAACAGTCTGAGTTTCACAGGGGGAAAATGGAGATATCATCTCCGAATTCCTCAGAAATCTGAGGCTGAATACTGTTTCCAAAAAGGATTTCTCCTCCGTCACTTGCATGCAATAGTTTTGTTATTGTTGGTTTGTTGGAAGGAAGGGGGAAAGATAAGGGCATTTCAATTCATTGCTGAGATAAATGGATATCAACTTCTAAGTAGTTGACTATTCAGCACTCAAAAGTTGATGCTTGGGATTTAACTCTGTAACTGTGGACAGACAAATTGCCTTTTCAGATCTGTTTGCAAAGTGGATGAGCTCTGCAGACTGGGAGGCAGACAGCTGGGGTCAGCCTTCAGGAAAGAGGCACCCCAAATTGTAGCTCACGTGTGGACCAGT